AATTTCAGCTCTGTCACTGGGTGTGTAACCTTACGGATTTTTTTTTTAAAGTTTCTTCTGTATTCCTTATTTATAAAATGAAGAAAGTTTCTTATTTTCTGGATGCTTTTGCAGATAAATGTAAGAGTACATAGTAGGTGTTCAGTAAAAATCTGTTATATATATGAAAGTGATCTGGGTGGTTGAGTAGCATAAAGTGTTACATTTAAGCTAAAAATAAAGAGGGTTTGAGTTATTTGAATGCTGCTTGGAATACTGTAATTCTTTTCTCTAAAAACATCCAAATGGAGACTAAGCAGTTGCTAAATAGAAGAAATTATTTTTAAAAGGAGATCTTTTCCCTTTGTCTATATGTATACTGTGGGATTATTTCCATTGCTCATTCTAATGCCAATTCTCTTTTTAACCACAAGATGGCAATCAAGGTATAAGCTTTGGGGAATAAAAATATATGCATTAAATATATAATTATGAAAACCTATATGAACAATGTTTAACTTCAATAACTCTAAAATAATAGCACAAACATACATTAAACTAATGTACTCAGCATAAATGTTTTCTATATAACTAGAGAAAAAAATCAAACATACTTATGTTAAAGGAAGATCACATAATTTTGTGAGTTAAAACACATACAGAATTAGATACTGCAGGAACTTAGAAACAACACATATTAAACCCGTAATTAAAAAAATAGTAAAACTAAGTCTGGAGTATGTTTTATAAACATAAGAAAGTTTTATGCTGGTATTTGTTATAACATTAATTTTTCATATGGAGAAGAGAACAGAAGTAACAGTCTAATAACAAAAGTTGAAACTGACTAAACAAAACAAGAACAAACCCATGAAACTTTTCCATAGAAGGTGGACTTGATTTGTGCTTGTAATTGAGTATGAAATATTTTAACACTTACTTGAAAATTTTAAGCTTTTAAATAAGCACATTAATAGACAGACAGGAAATAATTTAGTTTTCAAATGCAGTATGTGATTATCAGTAACTCCAGGAAAGTTGGTTAATTTGTTCATGCCTCATGTTTCCCTCATTGGTAAACTGCATTTAATAGCTGTCTCTACTTTTCCAGAATTTCTGTAGAGAAAATGTAGGGATGATGGTTTAGTTGAATTGGGAGGCTAAGAACCTTATACAAGAAGCTGTATAAAAAGCTTGACTTGAAGCATAGGTTGACTTGTGGCTTTGAAGATGGATACAATTGGCAGTTACACTTAGAGATGCGGGTGTACACTTAGAGGCATAACTGCTCCACAGCACGGCTAGTATTATATCAGGAAATGAAGGGAGAGTGCCCAGCACACAGTAGGTGCTTCCATGTGATTTCCTGTTCCCTCTGTACTTGCAATGGATAGACATGAGCAACACTACTTTCTAACGCTAAATAAAACTTAAAACTTCTCCAGAATTGACAACATTTATTTAGATGACTTTCTGGCTGACAAAGTTTAGACTACTGGTATAGATCTTTCCATTACCACATAAGCAATCATTAGCTATAAAATATGACATAAAACAGTTTTATATGTGCATAAGTAAGAACATTAAAAAAAACACAAAACCCAGCTCTCGCTGCTTTCTGATTTTGTATCTTAAACTATTTCTCCAGGGAAAATAAATACGAACTACTGATTAGATTCTAGATTCATATTCCGCCCATGTCTTGGTTGGAATAAAGCATTTGCATGAATAGCCAAAACACAGGCAAGGCAATAGGAAAGAAAAAAAGGTATAGAAATGAACACCAAACCAAATGATCAATTTATGAATATTTATGAGCTTCTTATAATGACAATGGGTTCCTAGTAATACTAACTAAAATCATGTGTGGAACTTCAGAATTTTCATCAAATATTCATGACATTTATATTTCCAGTTTTCAAGCACTGTTCTATAGCCTTAGAATTTTCAAAGGAGAACCATAATCCCTACATTAGAATGGGCCTTAATAGAAGTGAGCACCGACACTTTATTTTTCTGAAAATTTACTGTCTTCACATTTAATCCTATTAAGTGGGGAAACAGAGGAAGTGTGCATCATTCTACAAACACCAATTGTGAGTGCCTACTAGTTGGCCAGGTTACTGTGCTAAGTTCAGAGAACACGGAGCTACAAGAGTGGCAGTGCCCTGGCTACCCCGCTTGAGGAGATGAAGTTCCACACCACAGGGGCTGGAAGAACTAGGGAGAGTTCCCTGTGGAGGGAGAGGATGTCAGGGATGCTTTCACAGACAGGCTGAGCGGGATCCTCACGCCACCCTTGTGAGTACTTTGCTAGGTGGAAGAGATGGTAAGGGGGAAGAGGCGGAGGGGAGCGGGGAGAACATGCACATAACGGGACTAAAATAAATGTGGTCTTGAGAGGTATTCTTTTCTGACTTGAAAAAAATTTACACTTTTACATGTTTCTGACAGGCTATTTTCACTTGAAAAGTTGGTGGGTATGGGCTTTTATCTCTCGCCCTCAGGAACTAATATTTATTGAATGTCCATATGTCAAGAGTATATAACTTTATATGTGATCTCATTTAAGAGAGCAAATGCAAACAACTTTGGGAGACAGGTTATCTACGTGTAACAAGCTCACTGCGGGTAAGAATTTCTCCAAGACCTGCCACTCTCTCAGGCCCATGCTCTTTCCCCACGCTGCCTCCAAGGGAGGATTTTCCCACCTGAAACTGGAACTAGGGCCACAGAAGGACGAGCATGAGTGATAGGGAACCTTACGAGTACTCACTATGTTCCAGATACAATTTGAAGCATTTTAGGTATATTAATTTGTTTAATCCTCACAACCTTCATGGGAGGTAGGTACAGTATACTGCCACATAAGAGAGAAGGAAACTGAGGCACAGGGAATTCAGATAAATCGCCCAAGGTCACAAAGGGGTAACTGGCAGAGCCAAGACCCAATCCAGGCAGCCCGGCTCCAATGCCCCTGAGTTTAAGGACTCTACCTCCCGCCTTTTAACCCAGAGCAAAGCCTGACTCCAGCAAAGACCCTGCTGGGCAAGATATCCCAGGAAGAAGGCACAAAGTGGTGAAAAGATCTTATGTCCCCAAATAATGGAAAAGATAATTCAGGGTGGCTTACGAATTGGATCTTGATTGATGAGAGGGTGGGAGGACAGCCGGAGGGGGCAGATGAAGCAGGAAATGCACGTCTCTTTTTCCCTAACGCTATACAGGTGAAGGATTCCCAATTTGCATTTGTTTTGTTTTTTAATAGACAATTTCAGTGTAAGAAAAGCACTTTCAAACATAAGAACAGAAAGATACGTGATGGTATGATATTGCATGCACATAGAGACCAATTACTCACTTCCATAGATTCCCAAACACTTTCTACTTAAGTGTCTATGAATTGACCACTTCATTATACCTGATGTATTTCGATGAATATGAAACCTTTAATTATCTGAAAAGAAGTTGATTCTACCATACTAAGATTTTTCCATACTCAAAAGTTTATGCCACAATAAAATTATATAGATAAATGTAATATCTTTTAAAAACTTTATTTAGCACTTCCTTACTAATCAACTCCAAAATTCAAAAGAAACAAATATTATCTGATCTAAATGTATTCTCATCAACCACCAGATGGCATAAGGTGTGAGAGTTTTATTCTGACAGGGTCACCATGCACATGATAATTTGACCTATAACTTCAAAATAATATATTTGGAAAAATGCTCTAGCACTCAAATAGCTCACAATTATTTCAGCCATATGTAGAAGTGGATGGATAAGTTGAAAATGACGTGATCCAACTTTTCCTAAATTTTGGGGTTCTGTGGGATGCTGGCATAACATAATGAATCAATGATCAAACAAATAAAACAAAGCAGTTCTCTTAAAGGAAATAAAAACGGAAGTCATGTCAAAGCAAAATTAACCTTGTGTTCTAAGTTTCTTTAACTTTAAATGAAACTTGAAACTTGCCTTTAAGAAAAAAAATCATGCATGTATTTCAAATTCTGCTCAATAAAAACTTTTCTACTGCCTATAATTTATTCTGAAAGCAGAAAAGTATCTAATGCAAAGATTTTCACCACTTTGGCTTAAAGGAAAGCTGTTGTAGGAGTCAACTGGATAAAGAATATCCAACCAAAAAACCTAATCTGAACTCTGATGTTAAAAGGTAGGAAAGTATATTTTGAAAACCTGGATTCCTATGCCAATCCAAAATACAGTACATTATGTTTACTAATCCTGTATTCCCATCTAGAAAATAGCTAACAAGTCACAAAGTTTTTCTTTTTAAAGAGGTAAATAAGGTAAATGCAAAAAATGGGGTCTTTAATTCCCCTAGCTTTGTGGTAGTACCTCACTGATACTTTGAAATAAGCCCACCAGAATAAATGACTCCCTTCAGCCAACACCACAGAGCTGAGGTGAGAACTTTGCCAGCATCATAAAGCAGGAAAACGGCCTTTACAAGTCAAGAGCCCAAGATGAGACCCCTCCTTAGTGTGGTCTAAGAGTCAAGTCTATGGTTTCTGAAGATACTGCAATAATTTATTTTTGTATTTTACTATGTGCTTCCTCATTAGATGTAATATATTTAGTTCCTGAGTGAGAAAATTCTGTGGAAGAAAAAAAAACATTTGGAGCTATATGAAAGATAAAAAACTATTCGATGATACATGAACAGGTTGAAGGTTTTTCCCTATTTCTGTCATGTTGATAAAGATAATGGGAATGGGGATGAGAATGAATGGGGAGGGCGCTGTGAGATCCCTGCACCGTGGCTCATGTCCCATTATATCCATTTTTGGCAGCGAATAGGTAGCAAAGATGTTTCCCACCTGGATTCATAGGAAAGGAAAAAAAATAATACTTCTTATGTTTGTTAAGTTTAGAAAAAAGCATAAGGTCTTTCCAAAGGATTTCTTCTGATGATTCAGTTAGATAGTAGAAAGTGGAATAGTAGATATTTCAAGTTAATAGGATAATATATTCCAGACACTTAAAATTACTTACTTTAAATTCCATTCTTTATGATGTTTTAGCTCCACTTTCTTCCATTTACAATACTCTCCAATGAAATTTGGATCTTCAAGTACTGAAATTAGAATATAAAAAAGAACTATGCATACATTCTTTATAGTTCAATGTTTAAAATAATCTACTTCTTATTAAGTTGATACGTGGCAAGGATGTACACTATATACTTCAAGTCATATTATAATGCTCACTTTCCAAATTTCATTTATTCGAAGTTGGTATTATTGGATGTTGTTTGAAATAAGTAGATTGTGTCTTCAAAAGTTTTCATTATAATGACATTTGTTTATGTATCATTTACAGTAATGTAGAAAGTATTAAAATGACTCATATAGAAACTATAGACACTATAGTTTAACAAAATTCTAATTCAGCACTTCAAATGGCAAAGTAAAACCTTAGGGTTAGAAGTGACCTTACAGAACTCGATCTTTCCAAAAGAATCTGTAACAGATGATCATCCAGGCTGCAAATGAATCCTTTGCCAACAACAAAAAAACCCTCCTTTTTGTTGTTGGGAGACTGCCTGCTCCACTGACAGACGGTAAGGTCACCATGCCCCCCCCCCCCCTTAATCTGAGTTCTGAGTTTCCACTGGTCCTAGTTCTGACCTCTGGAGCAATACTAAGTTCATTCCTCCCCCGTGGGAGAGAGCCCTTCTAATATCTGAAGATAGCCCTAAGGGCAGCCTCCGTTCCTGCAACTGTTTCTTAAGGCATGATTCTCTAGAGGCCCAGCCATCCTCATCATCCTGGCAATGAAATCTGTTGATGTGCCTTCTAAAGTTTGCATCCAGAACGAGCTCAGGATCTTGGTTTCATTTGAATAGCAAAGATGTAATGAGTTGCTACCTCCCTTGGGCTGCGTGCTACGCGTCTTATCAATTCGGCTATGAGCTGCATTAGTGTTTTCTGGAAGTCCTATTGAACCACTGGCTCATATGTTTGTGGTTAATTATAAAATTTAAGCCTTTACATTTACATAAAATTTATTGACATCTATTATGCTTAAGGCACTGGTAGTTTTTACATGAAATATGATTAATCCAGATCAAATAACCATAGATCTCTTATCTATTAATCCATCTATCTATCTATCATCTCCTTGTTCCTTTTAATTGTCCTAGGTTTACAGCCTTGAAATATTTAACCAACTAGATATCACCACCCCTTTTGCCGGTATCTGGACCTTCCTTCTTAACAATATTAATTAACCCTTTCTTGCTTGATGAGATTTGTCATTGATAGAAAAACATTTAAACTGTCTATCAATATCACATGATTTTCACTAGCAGTGCTCCTCTCTATTCTTTTCTTTTCTCGCTTCAAGCATACACAAGCACATACACATATTCTTGTAGGCTTTATTAATACTGTTTTATTGGTATTTGAATATATACTCCTCTCTTCCATTAAGGAGGGAAATCTGAGCTCCCAGGGGTTCTTAGTGAGGTCTCCTTATTTCCTTTAGATGATTATAATAACTAATATTAATTGAGTTCTTACGAAATACTGAGCACTTATAAAGTACAAATACAATGATTACCATTATAATAACCACTTCATAGATAAACAAACAGAAAGGTTGAGTAATGTCTTCTTGAAATTTAAAATTTGAGGTTTCTAATCAAGGATAATTTATATCTTCCCTTAATTTTTTGAAACTGCCTTTCCTACATTTTCTATTCGAATATGTATGGCTGTCTCTTTCTTATATATTATGAAAGCCCTAAAGGCATGGTCATTTTTCCTGACTATTCCCATTAATTTGATATCATTAACTTACTTTCTTTTTTATTTTCTTATTGGCTTTTTCTACTACCTGAAAAATTTAAAAAAGTACAGTATTTGTACAAACTTTTAGCACTTCCTATTTCATCCCTATATATTTTTTTCACTTATCTTCACTTACCTTACCTGACTGTTAACTCCTCAAAAGGCTTATCATAATATTTATCTTATTGTCTCCAACACATAGTCCATTGTCTAGAGATAGAAGATGCTCAATAAATAATGTTGATTTAGAGGGAAATAATGGAGGAATGAGGACAGAAGAGGAAAGAGAGAGAGCATGCCAGCACAAGTGAGTGAACAAGAAGAAAGGATCAGTAAAATTCTGTTAGAAGTTCTTTTTCTTTTTTTTATCCTTACCCAAGAATATGCTCATTGACTTTAGAGGGGGATAGAGAAATGACGTGAGACAGAAACATCAATCAGTTCCCTCCTGTACACGCCCTGACCAGGGACTGAGCCCATAATCTAGGTACGTACCCGGACCGGGAATCCAACCCTTAACCTTTTGGTTTATGGGACAATATCGCAACCAGCTGAGCCACCCGGCCAGGGCTATTAGAAGTTCTTGAAGATGAAATCCCCCCACCACTACTTTATTTGCCTTTGTGGCAGTTCTGCATTCTCTGGTAGGAAATCATTCTCTATTGCCTCTATAATGTAGTTCTCCCTCTTTCCCTTCTGAGGATCACTGGGACTTGCTTTTATTCTCTTTTTGCAATGACACCCCTCCCCCTGACCAACATCTGCATAGGCTGGTCTTAAAAAATTTTTTTCCATTGCTGGGACTGCCATGTCCAAAGAAATATAATAACACCAACTTGCTTAGCAGATTTTATTTTCACACATACTGTCTCATACTAACCATAGAGCAACATTAAATAAGAGTAGGACATTTTTGTCAATGAATAGAAATGAAAAATGAGGTACAAAGTGTTAAATGACTAACCTAACTTCACTTCACTGTATGTGGCAAACTAGTACAGGGCTGAGGAGTCTCTAATTTCTGACATCATGCTCTTCCCGCTAGAGCCTTTACAAACTTGGTTGCACGTTGTAATAACCTGGGGAGCTTTTAAAGCTACTGCTGCCTACTCCTGCTCCCAGAGATCTTGATGTAATTGGTCTGGGGGTGTGCCCTTTACATGGGAATTTTTACAAGCTCCTCTGGTGGTTCTAATGAGCAGTCAAGACTTAGAACCATGCATGGAAATTAGAAGGCACTGCCTCTTGCATCTAAATGTAGTTTGAAGACACTTGCCCTTATTCCTGGCTCAAAGACTCACAGAATGAAAGTCTCCCAGAGTGAAAGCAAGCATCCCCAGGATGCTTCAGGCTGTTTGGTCTGTCTTGATGACAGCAAACATCAGGAAGCCTCCGCTCAATATTACAGGGTACACTGGTCTGAAGGAATTCTTTTCCTCTAACATAAACATTTCCTTATGGGGATTATACTCTGTCGTTAAGGTGCTGTTGCCCACAACCAGATGTAGTGGTTTGTTCTCTGCCAAACTTTTAATTTGCCATTCTATGGTGATGGCCAGGGAACAGTGGATCATCCATACATCTTCCCATATGACTGCCTATGATTATGAACTAATAATTATAGTTATTAAAAAATGAACTGCATATTTTCCAGAATTTGAATTTAAATCTCAGGTTATAAAGAAATAAATATTTTTACATCATATTATAAAAGCAATATAGTATGATAGGAAACAACAAACATGGAGTCAGAGGATCTGGTCCAAGTCTTTGGGCCACAGTCTATTTGTACTAATCAATAACCACACTTATTGAACACTCACCATGTGCTAGGTGCTGTTGTAAGTGCTCCAACCTGTGAGGCATGTGCTATAATTATTCTTTTTTATAGATGAAGGAACTGGGACACAGAGGGGCTAAGAAATTTACCCAAGGTCACATAGCTAGTAAATGGCAGAGTCAGGATTAAATTTCAGCAACCTGGCTTCAGAATTTACACTCTTTACCAATACATAATATTACCTCTTACATGTGTGACCTTGGGTGAATTACTTAGCTTCCCTTGGTCTTGGTCTTCTCATTTGTAAAACCAAGCAATAACATTAATGCCTAGATCATAAGGTTGGTATACCACTGGGCATGATGTGTATTAGATGTTGATAAATGAGAAAGTAACATTGGGATGATTAGAAAACATAATACAGAGTACATTCTGTAAACTGTGTTATACAAGAATAAATGTTCTAGTATTATGTCACACATGACTATGGGTAGACTTGTGGCACAAAGATATGGAAAAGAGTAATTTTCCAAAATCAGAATATAACCACTCATCACTGTTCATAAAGTAAAAAGCTTTAAAAATATGCACGAGAGCTTGATAATCTTTCCAGTGATAAGAATGTAACTGCAGAAAATGAAGTTATTAGAAATTTCTCTTTTATTCCTGAGTAGTTGAAGACGCATTCTACAATGTAATATAAAAGCTTCATCATTATTATTGCCAGGAAATTAGGCTGTTAAAAAAAATAGTATTGGATCACATCCAGCTGAATTATCCAAAGACAAAATGGCCAGCAGCAGATGTAAGGTTTACATTTATTTTTTAAAATTGTGCTGGTTATTTTTGAAGGAAAGCTCTTGAAACATTCTTATAACAAATCCCTGGGGGAAGCAGAGGCAGGGTGATTGTGAAATATTGCACCATGGGTTAGAATCAAAGTCTCAGAAATTCTTCTGGGCCGGAGGTAACCATTACCAGTTATTGCCTTCACAAAGAGGGATGAATTACATACTAGGTTAGGGACAGACAAGGAAACAAGAACCAAATTAAACATTTTGATATCAAACTCTTTTGAAGAAGAAACTGCAGTCAGTGGTGATTCATTATCTTTCCCTTTTTAACTTGTTCTTTATTGCTCAAAATCATTTCCAAATTTTGTTAAGTTTTGGCATGGGCTTCGATTATTTTTTTTTCCTAGGAGTTTGGAGTCTTTGAATGCCTCTTTATATTTACATGTTATTCCATAAAGCCCCATCCTATACTGATCAGCTTGAGTTTTGGTTGAAGGAGTTGGGTGCTGAGTCATTCCCTAGACTGTGTCAGTTGCCTCTGACACTGTGTTTGCTCAGGGTTATTCCCTCCTGGAATGCATCTGAGCTCCTCAGTGCCTCACACACTCAAGGCATGTTTGCAGAATTGACTGAGCAGCACCCAACCACTGATCTCTGAAGTGAAGTGAACATTCATGTATTCTGTTATCAAAAGTAATAAAATTCTTTATGCTGATAGAACTACTAAAGAGTGTTTCTTAAAACACCTTAAGTTATTCTCTTAACCACTAATTCATGAGTGAGTGAGGAAGGTAATGTTTAGTCACAAAATAAATAACCAACATCCTGAAAGAACATGTAATTTCTTAGAATTTATTGATCTCATTTAATTTTAAAAAATATTTGTTAAGCTTAGTAGTACTTTTTGCTACAACCTGTGCTTAAAACTGGAAGCTTTTTTTGTGTGCGATATTTTGTCTTATTGAAACCAGTTACGACACCATCACAATCATGAGAAGAAACTTGATGAGACTACAAATGAAGGCAGTGGGGTGGGATGGGGTGAGGTGGAGGGAAAACCTTCATGATGTTGTAGGAGGTAAAATCAACAAAGCTTAACGAGGGAGACAAAGAGGTCTAGGAAACTTCTGTGATTCTGGTTTAGGCAAGTAAATGCAATAAATGGTTATCTACACTAACCAAGAGAGGTAATAAAGGGTAGGTTTTAGGGCAAGATAATGAATTCACTTTGGGACCTCTTAAGTATGAGATGCCTGAACACATGTAGGTGAGATGTTCAACGCACAGATTTAAGTATGCATGCAGAACTCATGAGAGGGCCTGGCTAGTGAGGAGGCTTAGGAATTGCTAGAAGGTAGGCCAATGAAACCAGGGTGGTGGGTAAGGTCTCTTGGTAGGCCGGGCTGAAAATGAACTTTTGTCTAAGGGAAGGGGCAGAGGAGCACTAAGTAAGGGAGGAGGAAAACCGTGGATGTATATGGTGGCATCTAATACAAGGAGAGCATAGCTGTTGAGAGTATAAGATAAAAAGTAAAAAATAGACCCTGAATCTGGAAACTGGGAATCACTGTGACTTCAGAATGCACCATTCAGCAGATCAGATGAAGCAAAATCACATCTCAGTAAGTGTGTGTAGAATGGATAACTCACTGTGATCCAAATAATGAAACAATACTCTAAAGATTTGATTAAATGAAACTAAGAAGTTGTCCAGCTTCCCCCTTTCTGCCTTTCTAATTCCTAATGCATGATGGCAACAGATTTTGCTATAGATCAATAAAATTGAAAGCCCTAGGTTTATATGTTAGTTTCTTTTTTTGCTGTCTTTCTACTTAATACATTCTCTGGCTTCGAGGATAATAGTGTTTAGAATCAAAAAGTTTCCTCTTGCTATGAAAGCTTCTTTGTGGGGTGAAGAGAGTAAAGTAAACCTCATAATACTGAGAATGTCATCATTTATTCCTCCAATGGCCTCTATTTCCTTCTAGCTTTTAATCAGACTTCAGTCCAAAACGCTATATAAAAGAGGAACTAAATTAAGATGTTGATTAGTATAGAGAGCATACAGAGAAGTTTATCACCCTCAGATTGCAAATATATGTCAATGAGTCTTTAAAAACAAAACAAACTGAGAATAATTAAGAGATTAACGTATACCAGAAGGACATGGGATTAGACTAGATCACCTTACATGGAGTTCTGTAACATTCCGCAGCTTTTGATGTAGCTATTTCAGACCATGTCTTGTAGTAATCATCAAATGAAATTTTAATTGACCTGAAAATATAAATTAAAATCAGACTTTGAGTAGTTTGCAAGTTTGTTTTCAAAATTATTTTATCAGAGTAAACTGTTTCAGACAACAATATCTTGTCACAAGACATTAAAATGATTTGTAGTTTCTAACAAATTGAACATACTAATTCTGCCACTAATACACACAAATCACAAAAAGGAAAACCTATCTAAATCATTTTTTCAATAATAGATGTAAACGTGCATCCATATGTATATTTTAAAAAGAAAAATATAGGTTTAGGTTATCTGCCTTTCATGAATACCTGAAAAAAACTTCAAGGAAAGGATCATACCTATACATTTTCTTCCTACAATAAATAATTGTCTTAATTTCTATGTCAGATTTTTTAAAAGATTTTATTTATTTTAGAGAGGAAGGAAGGGGGGAAGATAAGAGAGAAACATCGATATGAGAAATATCAAGGGGTTGCCTCTCTCATTCACCCCCATGGGGACCAAACCCTTAACACAGGCTCGTGCCCTGACTGGGAATCAAACCAGTAACCTTTCACTTGGTGGGATGACATCCAACAAACTGAGCCACAATGGTCAGGGATCTATGCCAAATTTTAGTAAAATCACCTTTATTTCTTTTTATTATGAAGAGAAATGAAACACTGGAATTGAGATTAGTTTAATTTTGACACTGAATCTGGTCACTTTTTAAAGAGGAAACAAGAACTCTTTTCTATGATTCCTACCTGCATTTTCCTCCCCTGTGCTAATATTACTATGTCCTAATGGGAAAGCAAAGGTTGTTATGAAGTATTAAACAAGAATTGTGAAATAGTCTCTTAAATAACTGCCTTTCCAATTTATTTTTCTACAACTTTTCGAGTGCAGAGGTTTTCAACATTCTACAAACAAAACATTGCTTTGGGCTATTTTTCAGACATGTAAAATCACCAGTTGACTGGCTTAGATGTTTGAACATCAATGTAAAAGACATTCTGTCTGTGTTCCATTTTAAGTTCCTAGCTCTTTATAGGAAGAAGCAACTTTTCAGTTAGAATATGTCTACTGGCATTAATTTTTATAGGTGGCTTAAAGTAAACATTGAACTAAATTTTGAAATGAATGGGGCAATATCTAAATGTGTTAATTCATTCATCTATTTAAATGATAATTACAGACACCTAATTTTAACATTTTAAAATGTGTTATTGCTTTTGCAATCATATGTAAGTAGAAATCTGAAAGTTGGTGAAGATAAATTAATCACTACTATTATTGCTTCCAGAGCTACATGCGGTGCTTTCCACTACTAAATGATATACTAAACTAACATTAATTTCCCAAAGAAATGTTTCAGCATTTGGCAATGGAGGTAACAAAATGAAAGGCCGCATTATATTTCCTGCATGAAAAAGCTTGTGATCAATTTGCTGTCACAGATCATTTAGCAGACAACAATGACCCAAGAGGAAGGAAACTGTCAACACACTGTCTCGTGAAAAAAAAATACACGATCTTCAGGCACAATCGTCTCCATTGTTTTTTGTCTGTTTGACGATGACCCCTGACCCTCTCCCTTCCCAACAGTGTCCTGTTCAATTTCAAACTGTTAGCCTTCAGGGGCTTTCTTTTCTTTCCCCAGAATAATTAAAAATACTACCCTAAAAGGTATAACTTCAGTATAGTTTGAATATACAAAGCAGACTGTCTTAAACATTTGGGAATATTTGCATTTTCAATTCTGTAAAGGAAACAGCCCCTTAAAATAAGAGAACAGTAACTATTTTACTACTATTCAGATAAACTGCTAAGTTTACAGGGATATATGCAGTATAAAAAATACATGTGTTTATAGTTTCAACCAGTTACAAGATTTCATTGAGGATTATCATTGGCATTCTGAACATGAAAAAGTAGAAGATATAATTTTAAACTGAATATCAGAGCTCCTTATTTTGATGAGAAAATAAGATGTATTCCTGAACTAGTAAATGGAATAGCTTTACATATTAACATCCTAAAGTGTTAACACCACTTAACACAGACATTTGGAGACTATAATGACCATGGCTGTAAGCAGGAAATGTTGGGACAGAGAGACATAGCTTTGTTTTGGAGTCATTAGGGAAAGTGTCACTCATAATATAGACCTTGAACCAAGGAAAGAGGCATTTTAGGCAAAGGGAACATTATTTGCTGTATATAGCTCATTTGGGGAGAAGCATGGTGTGTACACTGGTACACGCAGAGGATGCTGGGGAAAGATGATAATAACAAGGTAATTGACTAGAGTGGAGAGTTCCAATGCCACTCCACTCCAGGGGCCTAGGAGTTTGATAAAATCAGTGAAACTGGGCAATGCAGGGTCCTCAGACTTAGGCAGAGAATGGATTAGAGTTGATTCAGTAATCTTGATTTATTAGGTGATGAAGAACAATCAGAAGTTCTCAAATAAGGCAAGCAAATTATGAAATCTATATAAGAGTCTTTTCCTGGCATTAGTATGCAGGGTGGATCATATGGGAAATTAAATGCTGGGGGACAAGTTAAGAAACAAATGTGACAATTCAGGCAAGAGATACAGAGAGCTAATGTGAAGGTGGGAGCAAAGATTACCAAGGGGAGGAGATGAATCGATGGTAAAGAATTGACTGGACTGGTTGCCTGATAGGGTGTGAAAGGTGAAGGAATTTGAGGGTCAAATATTCTCCTAAAGCCCAGAAGACCAGTTAGTTTTGCTATTAATAGAAAGTGTCTAGAGAAACTGAAGTAAAATATGAGTTTAATTTTAAACACAGGTTTTAGGTGATGACCTTTAGGAGTGTGATTGAGAAATTGAGACTGGAAATAAGAGATTTGGGTCAAATCAACATAAAGGTTGATAGATGACGCCATTAGGGAAAACAAACTCCAAAAGAGTAATTAAGTGTTTAGAAAAGAAAGAGCAGAAACTGATTCATAGTTAAGAGGGGCCAGTGAAGAAAACAAAAGGATAATTAAGGGGAGAAGAGAATTGTGGCAGTGATATTTCAGGGAAGCAACATCTCAGCCATAACAAAGTCTAATGATTAAATCCCTATACATCTCTGGATATTCAGGCATTAGTATCATGGGTAAGAGTACAGGCCGTGGAATCACCTGGCCCGGCTGAAAACACTCTGCCACTGTGACTTATTAGCTGTGCGACTTGGGGCAAACTCCCTAACCCCTCACTCCTATTTCCTTAACTATAAAATTAAAAGATAGAATTTCTTCTTGTGAGCATTCAGTGAAATCATCCAAGGAAAGAGCTGCATAGAGGGTTTAGCACCCCTCAGCCCTCCGTGTCAGCTGCTCTCCTGAACGGACTCAGAGAAAAATCTTACATTCTCTCCTACAAACTCTAGACAGCTTCCTAGTTGTTTTTCTATCTCAGTCTCTCCCTATTCCAGGTTATCATGCCTCTGTTTGAAAACCACAGTTGGTTATCTAATGCTATAGGATGAAATCTAAATACTCTCAAATATAACTCAAGGTTCTTCGTCATCAAGCCGTTTCCAACCTTTACTTCCGCCATCCTTCCACACGTCCAGAGGCGCTATCACATGGAACTTCCTGATGTCCCTGAGTATGCCATAATGTTACATTTCTACATTTGTGCAAGCAGTTCTATCTAGAGACTCCTTTGCTCTCTGTGCAAACTCTTACTTATCAAGGTTCAGGCCCAATAAAAATATTATGTACATGAAAGGTGTCACAATGGACATTGAGGTTGGCCCCCTAATAATTTGTTTTTCTCACATTTGGTATGTGTCATTCAGTCTGATGGAACTGACCTCACACTTGGCTCTAAGTCAGGGCCTGATGCATTTTGGGCTATCTGACAATGGTCACTAGTTTAGGAAAAGGAACATAAAAAGGTCCAATCAGAGCAAAATGTATTCTAACATTCTAGCATATCTTGATATCTAGGAATGTTAATTTCTTTGTTCTTCAAGACTGCCTTGCTATTCTAAATCCTTTGTATTTCTAAATACATTTTAAAACTGCCTTGTTCATTTTCAGGAAAAAAAAATGGATGAGAATCGAATCTATAGATTTGGAAGAATTGGCATTATAACAGTGTTTACTTCTTCCCAGTCACGAACACTGCATATCTGTTTCTTTAGGTCTTTAAAAATTCTCCCACAGATTCGTTTTGCAGTTTTCATTATAGTTGTCTTAGTCATCTTTGTTAAATCTTGGTGTTGTAATGGTGTTTTTAAAATTTCACTTTCCATGTATTGATTGCTAGTATATAAAACTTAGTTGATTTGTTAATGTTCATCTTGTTGAATACACTTATTCATTTTCACACTTGTATATTCCTTTGGATTTTACTATATAAATATCCTGTTTTCTGTGAATAAAAATAATTTACTTCCTTCTTCCCAAACTTCGTAACTTTTCTTTTCCTTGCTTCATTGCCCCGGCGAGCATCGTGGGAAATGGAAGTGATCATGGGCCTACCTGCTGTGTTCCTAGACTCAGGAGGAAAAGCAGTTAGCATTTCACATTTAAGTATGAGTTTGGCTATGGGACTTTTGTAGATTTCCTTTATTGGAATAAGGAAATTCTCTTCCATTCCTAGTTTGCTGAGAATTTATTTATTTTTTTAATCATGAATGGGTAGTACATTTTAGCAAATATATTTTCTGGATTTATTGAGATCATTTTATTTTTTTTCCTTTATTTGGTTAACATGATCAGTTACACTGACTGATTTTCAAATTTTAACCAAAGTGTCTTTCCTGAATTCAAGCCCACTTAGTTATGATGTTATCACTTTTTATGTATTAGTGGATTCAGTTTGCTAAGATTTTGGTTAGATTTATGTATCTGTGTTTATAAGAGATACTGGTCTATAATTTATTTTCTTGTAATAATTTCATATTTTAGAATCAGAGTTTGGAAGTTGGTAAGTATACCCATTTTCTCTATTACTGAAAAAGAGTTTTAATACCTTTTTTCAAAATTTGTCTTATTTTGTAATAACTTTAGATTTATAAAAGAGTTATAAAGATAGTTGACTATTTTTTAAAAATTAAAGTATGATCTGCATTCAGTAAAATGAGGATTTTAAGCATACAGATTAATGACTTTTGATGAAAGACTACATCTTTACAAATACAAGCCCAAACAAGATATAGAATATTTTCATTACTGCAGAGAGTTGCCCACTGCCCCTTCCCAGCCAATCACCCTTGACACTTTGGGCGATCACTGATCTCCTTTCTATCACTATCGATTTGTTTTACCTGTCTTAAAACTTTATATACATTGAATCATATAGTATGCACTCCTTTGATTACTCTGAATTTTTTTTATGTGCTCAACATAATGTCTGCTTTACCATGCCATGCTGTTGCATTTATCAACAGTTCATTCATTTTTATTGCTGATAGAATTCCATTTATGAATATAACAATTTATTTATATATTCAACTGTTGATGGACACTTTAGAGCTTTCCAGCTTGGGAGATTATGAATGAGACTCCTATGAACATTTGTGTGCAAGTTTTTTGTAAATTGTATTTTAATTTCTCTTAGGTAAATATTAGGAGAAATTACTAGATCACAGGGTAGATGAATGTTTGATGTTATAAGAAACTGCTAAATCGTGTTTCAAACTGGTTTGGGGCTTGTCAAACGGTGTAACATTTACAGCGATATAGGGGAGCTCTAGTTACTCTGTATCCTCGCCAACAACTGGGATCATTGGTTTTTCTCAGCGGTGCGCTCTCCCAGCCTCCCCCATCCCAGTGAATGACAGCAATACCCGTCCAGTTCAAACCAAAATCTAATAATAATTCTTGATTCCACTTTTCTCTGATACTCTCCACCTAATCAAACCAAGCCTTAAATTCATCCACTTTTCTCCCTCTCCTCATCTATGCCTTCCACCTTAGCCCAAATCACCATCATCTCTCCCCTGGTTTACTCAAATAACCTAATTAATTCTCCTTGTTTCCACCTTAGATCCTTCACAATCTGTTCCCCACACAGCAGTGAAAATAGTCCTGTTAAGATGTAAATCTCATTGTGTATTTCCCTTTAAAGCTGTCCAGCTGTGTCTCAATTCCCACTGCTAATCTAATCAAATCAGAATTCCTTACCTAGTTTATAAAGGCCTAAATGATATGGCCCTGCTGACTTCTCTTAACTCGTTGCCTACCCCTCTCCTCTTTTCGCCTCGCTGTGTTCCAGCTACAGTGAATTTCTTTATGATCCTCTAACACACAATGCTCATATGCAATTTAGGGTCCAGGAGGGGGTGGGAGGGAGGGGTAAGGGGGAGAGAGAATTTGTTGTTTCACTTTTTTATGTTTTCATTGATTGATTCCTATATATGCCCTGAACCCACAACCTTGGTGTATTGGGATGATGCTCTAAATAACTGAGCTACCTGGCCAGGGTTTGAGTCACTTCTGACAAAAGTTATATTTAGATCATTCTCCCAGACCCCAAATGCTGTACTATTGTCATCAGAATTGTCTCCTCTTCAGAGGAGAGTTGCTAATTTTAGCTTATAAATTTTGTGAGGTCAGAGGTCATATATTATTCAGTTGTGCATCCCAACACTGGAACACAGCACCGGGCATGGAGCATATGCTTGGTGAATGTATTTTAGATAAGTGAATAAATAGCTGCTCTTCGAGAGGCTGCCCCTTATCATATCAAATGGTATTCTACAGCCCAGGGGTATCCTCCCAGAAGACCAGCACAAACTTAAATCACCTTCAATCACTGAACATCAACTGGATTCCCTTGACTATACTCTGTCTACCCAGTTGACTGGACTTCGCCTAAGTTTTGTTATGCCCTACAAAAACAGGTTTCGATCACATGTCTATGCCTCTGGAATAATTTCTATAGCTAGGTGAGTTCTCCCAGCTCATGATAAAATTCTATCCCATGGTGCTAGTCTGGCAATACAAAGAGCAGCTTCTCTCTCGGAACAATTTCTGCAAGACCTTGTTGGGAATGCTCTTATTGTAAAAACTAAAGGTTAGAGAGAACTGAGTCTTATCCCATCTATACCAGGAGTAAATATCAGAATTCATAGCTACATAACAAATTGTAACCTAGTATGTACTAGGAGCATAGAGCATCATTGAAATCTAGGTCATATTGCTTCAATTGTGTTCCAGAGATTTCAGGCTAGCACTAGATGAACACCACAAATCAGATCTCACTGGGGCTTCCTTTATCCTTGGTCTGGTTCAGAGAGCCTGCTGAAGCTGAGACCAGAGAAGTCCTTACAGTCTGTTCTTAGTGCCTTATTAGTAAATGCTGGCACTGTACCTTTATGTACTACAAATAATTATACCACAAATACAAAGAACTTTGTGATATTCTAGGAACATCCATGTTTTACAGGGACATTCATGCATTCAAACACCTATTTATCACGGGTCTATTTTGTGCCAGGATGGTCACTTGCTTCTTTCCACATTGACAAGTTTAAAGAGAGCAATGTGCTCTACTGAATTTTAAACTAGTCCAACTCACAAGACCATGCTTATCTGCAAATTTTTCCACATTTTTACAAACAGAGACCACTTGGGTTACTTAGTTTTACTCATCTTCAGGGCCAGTCAAGGAAACCCCAGCTGAAGTAAACATTATTTCAACACCAGTTACTTGACTTTCTTCTACCTCTTGTATGACTGTCAAATCAAGGCTGAAGGAAATGCTCAAGAAACTAATGATGCAGAACCATAGAAGAGAATACTGACCTATATATCGTGTTCACGTGTTTAAGGTTGAATTGACGCCATATTGGCAGGCTGTCTCCTGAAAGGTACAGTGGCTTCAGCCCTAAGTCTTACCATTTTCCTCTAGAATCTATCTTCTAAATTGTTTAGATTTTTGCTCTCTATAATAGTTTGTACTGATTATGTTCACAACATGCTTTCTCTCTTCAACAATAAAAAATAAAAATTAAAAGAATAGGCAAGTGCATATAGTAACATTCAATATTAATTCAATAGTCTAGAAAGAATTCAACAACTTCCCACATTCACCCTGAAGACATTTTAAACATGTATTGTAAGAGGAAAAATGTCTACTTCCTTTTCTGAGTTAAAAAATAATAATTCAATTATGAGAGACAATGTAAACAGTTTAAATAGTCATTTTAATAAATAAATTGACTTAGAATTATATGAAAAAAACTTACCTGGTAAATTTATCTGAGTCTTTAGATAACTCGGAGCTGTCATCTTTCACTGTAAAATAAATAAGTAAGTAAGTAAATAAATAAATAAATAAACAAAAGATTCTAGTTTACTTGGAAGATTAGATACATGGCTTTATGTGCACTCTTTCTGAAGCCCCCATAAAGTGATAATAAAGAAATAAAAATGAGGTATAAAACCTTAAGGAGAGCAAAAGAAAGATAGCAAGAAAAATGTTCAAGATGGAAAACAGATGGCAAGCAGTAGCTGTCTTAGCAGAGGCCATAGAAATTTAAACCTAAACTACAGGATGCGGGGAGGCCCATGAAAAGCAAGCAGGTTTACACTTCAGAACCGGAGAAGCAATTCAGAAACTGAAGGTACCAGATACCTCTGAAAGGTGAGAGATACAGCACAGTCACCCAAGCTTCACACCTTCATCTCGTGCAACCAGCTGATCACCACTACCCAGGCAGGAGGAAGGATGTTTAATCTCTGGGGAAACTGAGTCAGGGAGACTCAAGACTGGAGGAGACTAGGCACAAAGCAGAACAAGAGTATGGTAAGGGACTGAAAGTGGTGAATAGATCATATTGAATATATAAGATTCCTCCTCTCTCCCCCTGTCCAGCTCCCAGAGTGTAAGCAGCTAGCACCTCTCTCCAGGAACAAAATGGAGGATTTATCTCAGGGGAAACAGACAAGCCTACTAACAACTAATGGTCTCATCCTCCACTGAATAACCAACATGAAATAAAACCAACAAGTCCAGTCAGTACTTACATACTTCCAATTGTTTTCCATTCATCATATGTCCATCACACACACAGAGATGGATAATAGGAGAAAATAGGGTTTTTTAAAATTAGAGGATCAGCTCAGTAGATCCTGCATCCAAATATCTGGATATTTAAGAGTAGAACAGAAAATAAAGGGGAAATAAATTATAAAAGGAATTATATATGAAAAATTTCCAGAAATAAATTATTAGAGTTTTTAAAATGAGATTTAAACAGCCTATCAAATCCCCTAATAATGAACGAGGAGTGGAAATCCCCCTCCAAAAAAAAAACAAAACTACAACAAGAAACATTATGAAGAAATATCAGATCACTGGGAATAAAGAGAAGTTTTCAAAAGCTTCCAGGAAGAAAATATATCACATGTGATGAACCGGATGTCTAAATGAAATCAGGCTTCTCAAGAGCAACTCTGGAAACAAGAAGGCAACAGCGTCTTCCCAATTCCAAAAGAAAATTATTTCCAAACTAAAATTTAACCAAACTGTGATCATGTGTGAGTGAAATGAATATATTTTTAGGCATGCAAATTCAGAAGAGATTTAGCTCTCGCAGACTAGGAAGCTCCTAGATGTGCTCTAACAAGATGAAGGAACTAACCCACCAAGGGAACATGAGGGATCAAGCAGGAGCTCCAATCCAAGGGACAGGCACAGGGGCCATCGCAGGGCGCCCCGCAGAGAGCTGCCAGGTCAGAGCTGAGGAGGAGCAGGGTCGCAGGAAAGCGCTCTCCGAGGGAAACGCGCCCGGCCGGATGTCTAGGAGTTGTTTCACAGCTTTATCAGAAAGTTAAAGGAAAGAATAGAGGACAGATTTATAAAAACAAACAAGGGAGTGAAAATTGAGCCATTTGGATAAGAAAAGAAAAACAATAATTCATGGCTCATCTGTGACAAATATTTACTAAGTCATATTAAGGGAACCAAATTGTATTAGGAGACTAGGAAACAAGCAATGCAGGTGAAAATGGCAGTATAAAGGCCGAATCTTTACATTTCAGGAGATGCCTATAAGTAAATCTAAAAGTGAGAACCTCAGAAACATTAGCATAGAATAAACTTAGAAATATACCGGTGAACTCTGGAAGAAACAGCTAGGTGTTTGAAAGCTGCTGGTGCCTTGTGGGGTTGGGGGAGGCACTCAGCAGTGGAGGGTGTGGGCCGCCAAAGGCGGCTATATCTCATTAAAAACCGATTTGTAGTATTTGTTCTTTAAAGCTATGAACATACATTTCTTTGATAGAAAAGAAACACTTAACACTTTTAGTTAAAACAAGCAATGTAGAGACTTTGCTAAAATGTTACTGGACTATCTGGTGCAATGAGATACAAAGAGGAAAAAAGAAGTTTGTGATTCTAGCAAATAAATCCACACACACAATCCTGCTAAACTCAGGTTTTCCATAGCTCCTGACACCTGTAAATGACAGGATAGCTGTAACAATACTGTGATCATCAGCAACAAAATAGAGCTCAATAATGGTATTAAAGCTCATATTCTCCAATGAGGAAGTGATGCTACTGGACTAAATTTCTGTTCTCTCTGACATCTAGAAAGTATTTTTCCCCCAGAGTAATGGGTATTTCTACACATAGCAACAACAACAACAAGTATGCCCTCTAAAAAGAAAATAAACCAATACCTGAAATCCTGAGATATTACCTGCTTCAATTGTGGACATAATTTTCTTTAAAGTTGTTCTACTGTTATGAGGATTAAAAAAAAAAAAAAAAAAAAACAACAGTGACCATGGGAGCTCGAATTGAAGAAGAATGGAATGCTTATTACATCTTCCTAATTATAAGAAGAACAAGATGTATTTGCACAATTATCAGGTTTTTTAAAGTGTGCAAATTAGTATTATAATTTTCCTAAATTTCTATAACTCTTCTCTATTCTTGTGTTATGATGCTATCATAATATCTGTCAGTTATTATATTATAGTTTATTTAAATAAGTATCTGAAACTTGTTAGCATGACCTTCATTTACTTAACAAAAGCTGCAGGAATATACCTGGCTAAGACAAAAATCAATACCTTAGGTTTGGCATGCTATTACTCAGTTTTACTATTTTTATACTCACATTTTCTCCTTCAACAAAAGATTTTTTAAATTATGTGAATCCTATGATTTAAAATATCAAAACAAACATGATAAACGGTACATGTTATTTGACCATATAATCATGTAGAAATAAAAATGTGCGAAGAGAAACTAGGAAAAGAAGGGGATTTATGAGCTTACTGTGAAATCTGTTCATAACAAATTAGAAAATAAGTAGCAATACTCAGAATCTAGGTGGCAAAGTAGTTGTTATACATCATCTCCTTGAAGACCTTTTCTCCTCCCTCCCTGAAGTTTCATAAACAAACAAAGGTAGAGATTGGAAGGTACTTGAAAAATCCACTTGTCTAACATTAGACATTGAGCAAGTAGCTAGCTCTTTGACAACATCCCTGAAAAAAGGTCATTAAACTATACTAAATGAACATTAGTTATAGAAGCATACTACAATATCTATCTGGAAAAAGTCCCGCAATTGTTAATATAACAAGAATGGCTTGCATGACATCAATGTAACCTGGCAGCCAAGGAGAGTGGACTGGAATGCGCATGTGTGAACAATGATGACTTCACTGTACTAGTCAATGAGGGTGGTAGATGCCATTGAGTGACCATGTGTACAATGTGGCCATCGCATTCAAAATGACTGAGTGAGTAGAGCAATGATCTGCATCAAATTTTGCTTTAAGCTTGAACATTCCTCTGTGGAAACTATTTTGATGACAACATGCCTGCTCATGCATCACATGTCCTGCAGTTTTTTGGTGAAACATCTAATCACTCACGTGACTCAGCTCTCCTACAGCCCAGAGTTGGTTCCCTGTGACTTTGGCTTTTCCCAAAATTAAAATCATCTTTGAAAGGGAAGAGATTTCAGAATGTTGATGAGATTCAGGAAAATATGATAGGGCAGCTGATGGCGACGGGGAGAACTGTGTGAGGTCCCAAGGCGCCTACTTTGAACAGGACTGAGGCATCATTGTCCTATGTACAATGTTTCTTGTATCTTTTATCTTCTTCAATAAATGTCTGTTTTTCATAGTACATAGCTGGATACCTTCTGAATAGACCTCATACCTTTAGTGAAAGGGAGTTTTACTACTCGGCAATGTGGCCTTATCCACTCTTCAGCAACCTGGATTGTTAGAAAATTCTTCCTTATGATTGGCCAGGTGGGGCCTGGAATGGTAAACTATGTGGCATTTGCTTCTAGGAAAGATCAGTTAGGCACCCAGGTGACTATATAATTTATTGTCCAAACTGGAACACAGAATGAAAGGAGAGAGTAGAAATAATTATACCAGGACTGTCCCATGTAGTTTGGTGTATTTGAGCTCCCTACCTGTAAGTGAGGGAGACCAGTTCCAGGCTCCAAAAGAGGGTGTCAGGATATGGGAAGGTCATCAGGACCTCCACCAATTAATTAGGTTTGAGCTCAGACCTTGGTGTGTTCTTGTCAATATACCAAGGCAAAGAACTAACTGTTCAGGGGAGGCAAACAGCATGTTAGGGAAATTTTGAGGATGAGAGGCATTTGCATGTCTGGCTTAGGCTTCAAAACTAGTTTCACATCACTAATTATGAGGAAAAAGTCTTCAGTTTAGTCAAGGTATACTCTGGAACAAGGCAGGGCCAAGCCTGATATTCCGATCTTCAATGGCTACAACGTAGCAGGTCTTGGGAAGGTATGACTGATTCATAGCTTCGACACTAGTTTTTAGTTTTCTGGAACACCAGAGAAGAATTTCTCTTTCCTGTCAGAAATCCCTTAAAATATTTGAAAACAGCTTTTATAACTGCCTTTATCTTTTCTTCTACTAGCTAAACAGTTTCCTGGGCCATGGAAAATGTGATGTTCCAAATAGAGCATGCTGGTATTGCAAATGAGGGCCCACCAAACCAGAATCGGGCAAAATGATCATCTAAAACATGCTTAGTAGAAAGTCACCTTCTTTTATTCTTTTGTAGTAAGCTTGTGCTTACATAGCTCCCCAATAATTTTTTCATAGAAGAGAGTTCTGCTATCAAGTCAGGTCTCTTCCATTCTGTACTTAGAAATTTTAATTATTTGATCCTAAATGAATGACGTTATTCTCATCTCATTAAGCTTGGAGCTGTGGGGGAGATAGGAAGGCCCAGGTCGCAGCTGCGGCCCTGCTGCCTGCCCTCTGTGGCCTTGGGCTTCATCATTGATCCTCGGCTTCCTCACTGAGGGAGAGGCTGAGGGTCAGATGAGTGAACGTGTGTGAAGGCACTTGGCAACTGTGAAGTAAAACCAAGATCTAAATGCATGCATATTTTTTCATTTATTCATTCTGCAAATCTTTATTTAATACCTACAGACACTGGATCGGGTACTGAGGATATAGTTCTAGCCTATAATTGATGCCTACAGAAATGATACAATTAGCTGCCTCTTAAGTTTCTCACGTATACAATTAGCTATCTGTTCCAGTTTTGTGTGTTTAAAAACATAAGCCTTTCTATGCATTTTCTAGATCTCTTTATTAATATATTATATATGAGAGATGATTCTTGCAGCACTATAGTAGAGATGTTTTTTCAAGCTGTTACAGGTAATTAATTCTCACTGAATGCAGTTTTTCACAGAGAGCCACATAGTGCTCTACTACCATCTAATTTAGAATGAATGAATTTTCTGCACGAATTCATTTCCCACCCATAGCAGCTGTCTCTGCTGTACCACAGCACCCTCTCCCTATAGCGTGCAGGAAGTCCTTCTCTTTGTGGTACCCTAGGGTAGCATGCCTAGCCTACCTGAGATAGCAAGTGAGCTGATAACTATATACTGTCTTGGATTTCCGCATATTTCACCAATGTAACTAAAGAATGTAGCAAAAATCTCTTAAAGTATTATCTGTTTTGTTGCTCATTTGCTGGGTGATTTGGCCATTTGGGCCGCTTTTCTGTGTGGTTTGATGGCAAAGTTGGAGAAGTGAAAGGAGTGAAGGCTAACATCTACCGAACAGGAAGACAAAAGAGAGGGCCAGTTTTTCTTCAGTTTCTTTCTCATCCTTTCTCTCTTCAGGGCAAACACAAAATCTACTGCACAGAATCATCTGTTGTAGAAAATTCTTTGAAACCAGCTTTTAAATTTCCATTTACCAGAATGGTAAATGGGCATAGCTTTGTTATAGAATCTTTCTTTATAACGATAATCCTGAAGGGCTCAATGAATCCTTCATTCATTCATTCATTCATTCATTCATTCATTCTGGAAATAACTACTGAGTGCAGAGGATACAAGCAGTGGACGCTACAGAATTCTGGTAGGTTACAAATGTGATGAGAGTGAAGCAATATGACTCCTCTGTGTACAAGCCAGCCTTAAAACTGTCAGGGGATGTTTGAGGAACTCCACCGCAATCATTTCATGTTTGAAGATTCTGAAAAAGATGCGTGATCAATGCTGCTTGGTTTGCATCAGACTCAGAAGCCCTGTGGAGGAGCACTTGAACTTGGTCACAGTTGTACAGGCCTAGTTAATGGACTCGCAGGTTCTAGAAGGGGACTGGAACAAGAGAGATGACCATCTGAGAGAGAAAGCACTTGAGAGATCAGTTTGAACAGCAAAGTGAATTTGAACAGCAAGTCCTGCTGACTAAAGAGGTAATAATAACAGCAGCTATTATGCAAGGTTTCTGTACACTGTGGCAAGAGGAGAGGCAGGATATGAAGGAAATAACTGAGTCACTAGGGGTCCAACCCTCACCTGTGACAAACCCTTCTGGGTATAAGGAGCCAATAACATTGTTCTTCTAACTGCAGAGGGAGACAAGAGCAAAGAAGGTGATGAAGTTAAGAGTTATGTAGAGGTCACTGGTAGGATGACAGTGAGCAAATCAAGCTATCGGAAACATGCAGGTCAATAGAGAGAAAGCCTGAAGAGCCTCAGGTGCCACTTCCACTTGGACACTTCGAAGGCGTACCTGGGGATGGTGGGGGGAGACTCCCCAGAAAAAAAAATGCTGAGCATTTTGCTAATCAGAAGGAAAGGAATCCCAGATCACTAAAATCTGGGGAACTACAAGTCAAATCTGGGAAATATCCATTATAGATCAAAGAGTTAAAATTAGATGTCTTATCTCTATGATGAATAGACTAGTTTCAATTGGCACCATCCATCTGTATGGACCTAACATTTAAAGATACTGAGCTTATGATCTTTGATAATCTTTAAAGAAGATCATACTAATTGGCTTGACAAAGAGGTGCAATAGGAGAGATCTTAGTATAATTTCATTGCTGAAAAAGGATACAGAAAATATTCCCTATGTAAAAATTATTTGCTAGATCACTTATTTGCTATAAATATATCATTAATAACTAGCAAATAACAATAAGTAGGCACTTCTTACATTGTAATGGTTTATGTAAAAGTCTTTGAGCTATTATTCTGTACACAGATTCATCCTTAATCAGCATTTGGGCTGCTTCCAAATTCACTGGATTTTCTAGCACTGGATTAGAAAGCATAACCTATAAGGAAAAAAATACAGAACATAGTTTTTTAAAGTAAATTTTTTTCTTACAGCAAAAAGACAAACCATTCACATTCAAGATGGTTTTTGACATGCAAAAGGCATTTATTGAATGCCTATAATATATCTACCTGAAAATAGATATAAACACAAATGAAACAGAGTCCCTACCCTCAAGAAACTCTTCATTTTGGTTTTTAATTTTATTTTTAAACTACAGTTGACATTCTCTATTATTTTTTTATTAGTTTCAGGTGTACAGCATAGTGGTCAATAATATAATTCATAAATTGACCCCCTCATATTTCAAGGCATCATACACAGTTATTGCAATATTATTGACCATATTCTCTGTGCTTTACTTTACATCCCCGAGTATTCTGTAACTACCAACTTGTACTTTTAATCCTTTCACCTTTTTCACCCAGGCCTCCAAACCCCATCCCCTCTGGCAACCATTAGTTTGTTCTCTGTACCTATGAGATTGTTTTGCTTGTTCATTTATTTTGTTTTTTACATTCAGCATATGGTATTTGTCTTTCTCTGTCTGACTGATTTTACTTAGCATAATACCCTCTAGGTCCATACATGCTGTTGCAAATAGTAAGATTTTTGTTCTTTTTTATGGCTCAGTAATATTCATTGCACCACCTCTTCTTTATCCAATTGTCTATTGATGGATACTTGGGTCACTTCCATATCTTGGCTATTGTAAATAATGCTGCAATGAACATAGGGGTGCATTTTTTTTTTCAAATTGGTGTATTGGGTTTCTTCAGACATGAACTCAGAAGTTAAATTTCTGGGTCATAAGGCAGTTCCATTTCACATTTTTGAGGAACCTCCACATTTTTTTCCATAGTGGCTGCACTAATCTGCAATCCCACGAACACTACACGAGGGTTCATTTTTCTCCACATGCTCGCCAGCACTTGCTGTTTGTGGATTTATTGATGATAGCCATTGTTGACAGGTGCGAGATGATAGCTCATTGTGGTTTTAATTTGCATTTCTCTGATAATTAGTAATTTTGAGTATCCTTTTCATGACTATTGGCCATCTGTATATATGTCCTCTTTGGAGAAGTGCCTGTTCAGGTCCTCTGCCCATTTTTTAATTAGATTGTTTTGGGGGGGGTTTGGTGTTGAGTTTTATAAGTTCTTTATAAATTTTGGATATCAACCCCTTATTAGATGTATCACTGGTGAATATGTTCTCCCATTCTGTGGTTCATCTTTTCATTTGTTGATGATTTCCTTGGCAAAGCTTTTTAGCTTGATGTAGTCCCATTAGTTTATTTTCTTTAGTTTCCCTTGCCTGAGGAGATATAGGAGAAAAAAAAATTGCTAAGAGAAATGTCAGAGATTTTACTGCCTATGTTTTCTTCTAGGAGTTTTATGATTTTGAGTTTTACATTTAAGTCTTTAATCCACTTGAGTTTATTATTGTATATAGTATAAAAGTTTTCATTTTTTTGCATGCATCTGTCCAATTTTCCGAGCACCATTTATTGAATTTGATCTTGGTTTTATACTGTACATTCATGAGCCAAACATTAGGATCAAAGCAAGTTACAAGTTCCTTTCTATAACTTTTCTCTATCACATAAATTTAAATTGAATGTGTATGTAAAGGGAGCTAAACATTAGGAAACATGAAATATTTTCATTAAAAAATAAAACCTTACATTTAAACGAGATTATATTTAGATCACAGATAAAACACACTCATGTATTAAGGCTTGTGTATACTTCATCATCCCCCTAGATCATCAAATGATTAATTTGGTGCCTGTGGTAGTTTGAGCAAGGTTTCCAGGAATATTATAATTGCTGCTGTAACAAATTAGTATGAAGGTAGCAGCTTAAAACAACACAAATTTATTATCTCACATGTCTTCAGTGGGAAATCTGAGGGGATGGGGCTGTTTTCCCTTTTCCAGATAATAATACTGAAACCAAGGTGATAGCTGAGTGAAGTCTTTTCTGAGATTCTGGAAGAATCTACTTCCAAGATCATCCGGGTTGTTGGTTAGCTGAACTCAGTTCCTTGCATTTGGAGAACTGAGGTCCCTGTTTCTTTGTTGGCTGTTAGCTGGGGGCCACCCTCAGCTCCACGAGGTCTCATGCACACCCTCACCTGGACCTTTATATTTCAGAGGCAGTAAAGGTGTGAAAAATCCTTCTAATGCTTGGAATCTCGCTGATGTCCCCTCCTGCCACATCCCTTCTCCTTCTTCCACTGTATTTCTCTGAGCGGCTCTTCTGCTTTCCTCTTTACTGTTAAGAGTTCATGTGATTACTTTGGGCCCTGCCGTATAACTCAGGATAACCTAATTTTAAGGTCAGTTGATTAGTAACTAAAATCCATCTGCAAAGTCTTTTCACAGCACTACCTAGATTAGTGTTGGATTGCATTATCAGAGGATAGGAGACTAAAGGGACATCTTTAAAATTCTGCCTACCATAATCTATGTGCATCTGGACAAAATAGGGGACCAGCAGTAACCGAAACTTAACAGTTCTGCTAGGCCATGCTCTTGTTTCTCTGACACATCAACATTAATAGTAGCCCAAATTGCAAATATTTATTTTATAGTTCAGTATTTTGAGTATTACAACATGGAAACTACATAATAAAATGTAGCCAAAAATAATAACTAACAGAACACCTAAGTGTAGATGCAGGACAGAGTAGATTGTTGCCTTTAACAGTCATGGAAAGGATGGCAGTCTTTCACTAATGAAAGCAGTACCCTGACATCTGATATCTCAAAAACAACAAGAATTTTCTGCTATGGATATATGAGTTTTCCTATTTGGAAAACACATTTGAGCTACATTTCCAAGAATATTATAATTGCTTAAATAAGGATTCAATGTGGATTGCACTACACCTTTCAAAGTGGGTGGGAAGCAGATGAAACTTATCTTCTAGAGCAAGCTTTTGGTTTTTGGCTGGAGATATAATTTTACTCAGAGAGGAACATCTGGTAAAGTTTATTCAACAGTCTTCACATTGACACTGTGCCTAAGACCTTTTCATATAATGTGTACACATGCTACTAAGTCTATTTAATGATTTTTAAGAACTAGAATACAAGGAATATATTAAATTGTATAAATCAGAAGCCCTGCTGAACTAGTAAAAAAAATAAAAGGTCAACGTTTAAGTTAACCATCTGATAGTGTAAAATAACATAGAAGCTCTGCAGAGAATAACAAAAATTTAAAGCATCACAAAACAACTCCACCAGTAAGCATATTTTATAATATCCAATTAATTAAACCCAGAAACTCATTGTGCGCCTGGGTGTTGATATTTACCTTTGCATTAAATAAAGAAGTGTTCAAAAATTAAGATTGTTATTATAAAAATTTAGGTGATGATCACTATATTTAGATGTTAAAATATTTTAAACACTATTTCAAGTATCACTTCCTTGAATAACAATGTGATGATTACAAATGTGTCTCATCTGTTATTCAATGGGAAGTAATAAGAAATTATGGCCTATACTTGTCCTGTCCTGCACAGTAGTCTCTAGCCATATGTGAAAATTTTAAATTTAAATTACTTAAAATGAAAAACTCAGGGACACTAGCCACATTTCAAGTGCTCAGTAGACATATGTGCCTAGTGGCTACCATACTGGACAGTACTGACAATGGACATTTCCATCAGTGCAGAAAGTTCTACTGAGCCACACTGACCTTGAAAAAAAACTGTTAAATAGCCATTATAATATTAACTGTAGCAATATATAAATTACTTGAAATAAGTGAAAAAGAAACAGGCTATGTTATGTATACATATGTGCCATATTTGCAGCAATGTAAAAATTTAGGTTCATTCCTCCATTCATGTTATTTAGTGCCTACTAAAGGACAACACTGTGAGTTGGGGTCGGGGGAGCGAGGGAGGGGCTCAGAGATGAATCAGACCTGTTCCCTGACCTTGACGAGCTTGGATAAGGAGACAGTATTACAGAGCTCCTATAGCAATGGGCTTAGGTGCTGCTCACTGAGGAAGGGGCAAAGGAAGCCCCTCAGAAAACGAAGCCATCGGTTCCAACTAGGAAAGGAAACCAAGAAAGGCATTCCAGAAGAGCACTTATTTGATCTGACTTTATAATGTAAGCGTTGCTTGCCAGACAGACTGAGGAAGAGGAGAGGAGAAAATGGGTTGCCCATGAGAGAAGTGGCCTTCGGCACTTTCTAAGGGCCGAGACTTGCTTGAGTTTGTAACTTTAGAGGTTAGAGCTCTACAAATACTTTTAAATCTGACTTGAACCAAGCACTGTGAGTGAAGAAAAGCAGGAAGATATAATAGGAGTGGGACTGCACGGTTTGTTAAAGCCCAGGTGTGAGGAGAAGTAAATCATTTGTCAGGCAACAGAGCTGGGCTTAACCCTCTAGTGACTGTGAAATGGAAAGATTTTAAACAGAGAATAGAAGAAACGATCAGAAGGAGATGCTAATAACAGTAGGCTTAGGGTTTTCCTTTACAACTATCAGTGATTTTCTTTTCCTTTCCATTGTCCTGTAATGCGGGCATATTTGTTTTATAAATCTGTTTGAAAAATAAAAAGACAAATGACTTTGTCATCTACTGGCGTCCCATGATGTGTTTCCATGACAACACTTTGTTGTCATTTTGCATTACTGCCTGCGGATAAGAACAATCATAATATTATTTTCTTATTGAGTTATTAGTGAGTTATTTTCTTAGACCACATATTTTTCCAAGTATTTTACATGTATTAATTGATTTAATCCTCACAATTCTATGAGTTAGCTACTAAAGATCCATTTTACTGATGAAGAAATCGAGGTATTCAGAAGTGAAGAAACTTCTCCAATTGTATAAAGGTGTGAAATGGTGCAACCAGAATGGGAAGCCAAGCAACCTAATCTCAAAGCCTCAAATCTACCTTTTATTAAATTACTTGGCAAGTCAAAATTTTCACCATTTCATTCTGGTTTGCCCTCATTCATTACTTTTTGGGACCATTTGACTTTCTTTTCTTAAGGCAGGTCCTTGTTTAGGCAGAAGAGGTAGGTAGGAATATAATTCAATGTAAAGAAATCCAAAAAAATCAACCCCAGTTATCTGCATATTGTGCTCTACTCACTTCCATAAAGTTTTTGCTCAAATGTCACTCCCAGAACATGACCTGGCCACAGACAGATGCTCAATACATATTTGTAGAATGAATGAATGAATGAATGAATGAATGAATAAAACACTGAATCTTTAAAAAGATTAAATTTTACTCAGTATGCTAAGATGACTAGACAGAAAACTATTATTTTATTTAAAAAAATAAGAAATAAAATTTGTATTATAATTCTGCTACAGAAAAAAATCAATTAAGCCATCATACTTTATTCTTTAAGTATTTCAGGTAATCAAAATGTAATAGTTTATCTCCAAGTGTTAATAATGAGTAGGTCCATGGAGAATATCACTGAGCCAGATGTAAGTGCTCAAAGCAAATGGCACTAAACTCACTCACTTTGGCATGGATGAGAAAGGAGGCTCACTGAGCGTCAAGAGCAACAGCACAGACACACGTTTCTGAAGACCGTAGATCCAAGAAGTAAAGGGGGCATTCTAGAAACAGGCATTGTCTGAAGGGAGAAGAAACCCCTGGTTTAATTGTTGACTTGATTTGATGTGAAAGTGTGTAAAAGAACAAGTAGTTAACACTGTCAGAAACAAAGGACAAAGCTGAACATTTTAGGTTGTAGTCGCTTGATTTTATTTCTCTGAAGGCAAAGTTCATGGATGAAGAAAAATCCAAAAGGCCTATTCAATAATACAACAATGAAGTTGGTAACAAAAAGAAAGCTTAAGACACTATTTCTAGAATTAAAACCATCCAGGCAGTTCTTTTCTTCTTTTATAAAATACGTATTCTTTGGTGGTGAAGGGCCTTAAGGAACAATTTCACTTTAAGATAATAGTCTTTATAATTCAACTTCCATTTTTATAATCTTGATATAGAAGTGTTATTGAGTTAAATAAGCTTACTTGAGTCTTTCAAAATTTAAATATGCATTGTATGTTTTCTTTCTTATATTTTGAATAACTAAGAAGTTAAGAGTATTTCAGAGGGCATTTATATTAATCTCTTCTTACCTGGAGGGTAAGTAAGATGCTGCTCAGTGTATAGCTTGTGTTCCACTTATGAGGATTGTCCAAAAAATCTATACAGGGTCGACCAGTATGTTGGTCTACTGTATTAAAATAATACATTAATAGTGATATATAATAAAATTATTATTTAAAGCTTATGGATATCAAAATATGACAGGCAAAATTAGAAAGCAAATGACTAAGCAGAAAAATTATTTGCAATGAATATGACAGTTAATCCAATGTAGTTGTTAAGAGTATGCACTTTCATGTCAGACACATAGATTGGACACTGACTATATGCGATGTTGAGCAATTAACCTTGCTAATCTCACTTTCCTAATATGGAAACTATGGATAAGCTTAAAGTACCCACCTTCAGTCTAAAGAATGAATAAAATAAAGTACTCAATAGAGTACTTGCTATATAGTGAATTCTCAAAAACTTATAGCTATCATTATTAATGATAATTTTATTAATGTGTAAATGATTTTTAAAAATGAACAAGATAAACATTTATACTCCAATATGAAAAACTTGCTATAAAAAGGTAAAAACTGAGAAAATTTTGAAGACATAAAAGAGGGATCTTTGATTTAATATATTACATTGTATTGTAAAACCACAATAAATATAACAGCTCAGTGGGACATGAGATTAAATGGAACAATGTAATAGAAGAGTTTAGACACAAATTCTGGCACATATTAAAACTATTGTATGTTAAAAGTGAAATTATGACTCAGTGGTGAAAGAAAAGACTATCAAAAATGGTATAAAATATGTTGCTGTAAAATACTCATTGTCCTTTAATGTCAGCTCTTCCTTTCTTCCATTTTTTTCTCTCTATAATAAGACTATACCTGTCCCCAATTCCCATTAACCTATCCTGTTTAGATGAATATGTGGTTGCTCAGACTATTTTCCCAAGCCTCCCCTCTAGCAAGAAGTCATGTGACTAAGTTTTAATCATGGGCTATCAGCAGAAGTAAAGTATACATCTTCTGGATCATATTTTCTTAAGGAAGTTGTTTTGCCCTCTTTTTCCTTCCCCCTTCTCACTGGCTGGAAATGGTGACAAATAGTAAATGCCTCAGATCCAGGAATAGAAGCCATATGTTGAGAATGACAAACCCCCATCCTCGCCAGCTTTGTTCTATTATATATATATTGGAAAGGTATACAGAAGCTTGGCTGCATTTTTTAAAAATAGAATAGAGTTAAATATGAAAAAATAAAGCTATAGAACAACAAGAAGAAAGTTAAAATAATTTGTGTTTTGGGGAAAGATAAGCTAAACTTAAAGATAACTATAAAAATCTCAAAGGACAAGACTAATAAATACAAGTATATGAAAAATTTTAAATTCCAGATGTAAAAAACAATCAACAAAATTTAAAAATTAATGACAAATGAAAAAATATTTGCAACATCTAAGATAATGTGACACTTCACAAAATAAAAAGCACAATCAAGAGATGTGAAAAAAATGATGTTAGACTGACAAGTATTCAAAAAAGTGCATATTAAAATAACAGAAAGATTCTAATTAAATTGGCAAAAAAAGTTTCTCCAAAGTTTTAATGCCTAGAATTGGAGAGCTGTGAAAAGTGAACTTTACGTACACTTCCTGGTGGTATTGCAAATAACATCACTGAAAAGCAATTAGGTTTTATGTATCTAAAACAAAGACTTAGAACTATACATAGCCTGATTTTGGTGTGTGGGGGCTAATAAATAACACTTCTCTAAGGTTTGTATATAATAGACCAGAATATTGAAAGATCTAAGTAAAAAATATCAACATTACAGTACACAAGACTGAAATAGAGACGCTGATCAATGCTTTAATCAAGCTTTACAAAATTCCCCCTGAATTGAACTTACCCCCTTAACTGGAGGACTGCCTAGGTTTCCTGTCTGCTGAAACAGAGACTGCACCCATTCTAAGGTCAGGCTTACTGGAAAAAAAGTTTTGAGGACGTGCTGAGCCACACATGCTCAATTCTTTCTCATGTCTCCCCAATTAGATAAGGGAGAAAAAAAAGAGCAATCACAAGTTTTCCCATATTCCCTCTCCTCTTTATTAATACACAAAAATGCAACAGATTTTTGGGTATTCATTTTCTATTCTGTAACTTTACCAAATTCATTTATTAGTTCTAACAGTTTTTGAGGGGACCCTTTACTAATGTTTTCTATATACTATATCATGTCATCTGCAAATGACAGTTTTACTTCTTCCTTCCCAATTTGAATGTCTTTTATTTCTTTTTCTTACCTAATTGCTGTGGCTAGAACTTTCAATACTAAGTTAAATAAAAGTGCTGAGAGTGGGCATCCTCATCTTGTTCCTGATTTTACTTTATATACTTTTATTTAATTTTATTCAAGTACGTTATTATTTTGTAATTAAGACCTATTTTTAAAGAATAAAATAAATTTATGATACAAAATTAGTTGAGTACTATGGGGGACGGTGAAGGCTGACTTCAAAAGCCAGGTTAAGCACTTGGCAAGGCCACGCTAGACCGCTTGTATCTGCAAGGCAGAGCGAGCTGGCAACCGGCAACAACCCGAGCCAGGGGCGGGGGTTGAGGGGGGAGGTTGAGCAGGGAGTAGATAACCGCAAGTTTCAGCTGAAGATGACTGCAATCTTTGCAGAAGAAAGCTTTATCATGTAGATAGCCTGGGAATGGAACAATCTGTGCCCTCAGTGTTCCCTTAAGTCTGCAAAACTCCCTTGAGCTTTATCTAACCAATCCCTATAAATTAAATGCAGAGACTGTGGTAATTGTCATTGTCTCTCCATCAGAGGACAAGGTCCCACCTGGCCTCCGTTTTTCTCCAAATTGTCTTGTGTAGTGTCTTCGTGTTGTGTTGCCCTTTCTCAGTCTCCCGTCGCTTCCACTCAGGGGACCACCACTCTGCGCGGGTTGCAGCAGTGTGAAGTTGCCATTATTTGCTCAAAATAAACATTTAGGAGTTGAATTACCGAATTAAATACGATGGGAAAGGGCATGCGTATCTCCTGTCCTTCCTCACTCCTTGCATTCCCAGAGAGTAGATCTTTCTTGTTCTGTTCAAGAGCAATATATGTAAAGCTATAGAATATATCATTTAAAATTTTCTATATTAATGGATATTGGCATTATATCCTTTTATCTATTGTTATTAAGATCAAATACTTTTTCAAACATACTCTTGCATGCTTGAATAATTTATAAACATGGTATTATAGGGATTTAGGGGTATTTCCATTTTATAGCTGATTAGGAACTGTCAAGTTACTTCCCCAAAAGTTTACACTAAGGACAACCTACCAGAGTACCCATATTTGCCTCTTATAAAATTGTTATTTTAATATTCTATAAACATAAATGATGAATCACAATTTCTGTGCATTTTATATGCAGTTTTAATATGCATTTTTCTTCTTACTAATGAGGTTGAACATACTTTTATATTTATTTTTGTTATGTTTCCTCTATTAAGTGTAAGCTTATAGTCTATTTTTCTATTGCTTTATGTTATTTTTCTTATTGATTCTCAAGTACTCTTTATATGTCACAGGTATTCTGTTTTATGTATTGCAAATATTTTCCCTCAGTTCGCAAGTCAATGTATTTTGTCTCTGTTTATATCATTGGCTATAGGGAAGTTTTAAAAAGTTTATGTATTTTAATGTGCTGTGCCTTTTCCATGCTTTTTAGATTTTATCATATTTAGAAAGGCCTTCCTCACCAAGCCCACAAAAAGTTCTACTGAATTTTCTTCTTTTTAGCATTTAAACATTGCAATTTACTATCAATCAAAAATACACTCTGTGTATAACCTAAAGTATCAATCTAACTTACTTTTATCTCAAATGTTAATTTGTTAGTATATCATATTTTATAACAATAAAATATTAGTCCAACTAAAATACTGAACAATACAGGAATGGTTAAGTTTATCATTCAGTCATTAAAAATGATCTTTTAAAGAATGTTTAATAGTGCAGCCATAAGCTTATGTAATATTAAGTTAAAAAACTTTATATCTAATATCCCAACTATGTAGAAAAAAGGAAAGAAATTCAGTTAAATGTTGAGAGTAATATCTCCGTGAATTACAATTCAAGGTGAGAATTTTTTCTTTTTTTTCTTTTCCCCAGTAAGCATGCTTACTTTTAAAATCATAACAAAGTTAAGAAGAAACATTATTAAACACTGATTCAGAACAAGGATAATAGGGACAGAGCCCCTGATGATAAAAGTCTCATTTGGTCCTTACCATTCGGATGAAAAGGAATGGTTCTAAATGTCACAACTGGAGGGACAAAATTATATTCTGATGAAAAATTTATAGTCAGTTGGAAGAATATTCCTATAAAATAAAAATAAACATTTTCACTGGAGTGTCATGTTGTACTGGTTAACTGTAACCCGATTAACACTAGACTGTTTCTTCCTACAGTTTAGCCTCCCAAAGTCCCTAGAGTTTTATTATTAAGTAAATTGATCATAGGGTGCACAGACCCCTCTAGAGAGCATAACAGTCCTCACAGTCTAATCCCACTATTTTATCAGCCTGTTTTTCATCTACTAACTCTGTCCCCCAACACCTTCCCCCACTCACTTTGTATCTGGTATTGACTGAACTCATTGTTCCCGAACCTAGTGCACCCTCACTTTGCCATGCTATTTATTCTGCCTGAATTCCCTTTCCCTCCTAAACCTGGCAAACTCTTATGCAGTCTTTAGGACTCAACTCAAACGTCACTTCCTTACAGAGCAATTCTTGACTCTCCAAGGCAAAATTAACTAATCACTTCCTCCTTGGCGTTCTGTTCAAAATCTTAATAGCACATAATATATCTTACTGTAATTATCTACTTCACATGTTGTTCTCCCCGACCTTGCTCAACAAATCTAGCTTATTAATCCATGAGTGAAAGAGTGCATGATCACTAAGGTTTACAGTGGCCCAGTCTTCTTGAGAATTTGATTTATGGAAATTTTGGGGAAAATCATAGAGAATAAAATTGAGAGATAATTGTGAAATGTTTGATGCCAAAAGAAATTTTTATAGCTATTCTCTGGTTTCATGGAAGAATGTTAGGAGACACTCTGAATTGTTATGCTTTATTGTGCCTGCTTCTTAATGTAGTAACATTAAAATCTGGCATAAAGAACAATTCAAATCTAAACTTTTCATTTATATTGACAAATACAAAAAATTAAGCCATAAAATGAAAAATAACATGTGAACACTTTCAGAGTTCTAGAAAATTTATATAATACAACCTTATTTTGCACATAAAGAAGATTGGATAATAATGGTACAGTGGTTTTTTTTTAAAGTAAATTTATTTTGCACATACATACCTTGCCACATTGTATTCTCTAGACCTTCAATATCAGCTTCCCATTCCATCTTATCTTCACTTACAGGAAAAGCAGTAATGCCCTTTAATTTAAAAAGAATTCAAAGCAGTAAAAATGATTAAATGTTTATTGCAGCTTTGAAAATCAGATATCAGGTTATAATGAATTCCAAAAACTCTACATTTTCTTTTCCTGATAAATTTATTGATTTGTTGATTTGGGGAGTTGTCATATTTTGTTATTACACAGCTGTTAATGTAGATTCCAGGAAATCCCAAGTGGGACAAGAAGATCAAAACTGTGATGTGTGGCTATTTAAGTCAATAGCCAATTTAAGATTCAAATTAGAAGAGAAGGAAATAATCAACAACTTGCATTTCTTCAGAGCTTTTTAAAACTATTGGGTTGGCCAAAAAGTCCCTTACATTTTTTCCTTAAAACAAAAGACACATTTTTCATTTTCACCAATAACTTTATTGATTTGGATATTTTGAGAATGTCGGCTATCTCCTGCTATTATCTTCTAGTGGGTAGAGGCCAGGGGAGCTGCTGAACATCTTCCAGTGCATAAGACAGCCCACAGCAAGGAATTTTTTGGCCAAAATGTCAATAATACCAAGAAACTTCACAAAACACTTTTAGCACATTTCATCAGTCACAGCACCTTCTCCATACCCTGAACAAGTCTTTTTCTGCATTTCAGTAGCATTTTACCTTTCTTGAAATAATAAAGCATAATGTGCTGAAAATGTGTATTTTCTTCCACCTTTAATATTAAAATGGCTGCACAAAAATTCACCAATTTTGATTTTTTTTAAATGTATGCTTATATGAAAGCTGTCACAATGCAATCTAGCAAAATTGTTTGAATGAAGTTAAAGACAACTAAGTATTACTAGAGTCATTGTAAGGAAAAAACGTAATGGACTGTTTGGCCAACCCAATATATGGATGCTATACGGCAGGCATGAAGTGAGAACATTTTCATTAAGAAAAACACAACTCCAAGATTATTCTTGTATATAATCTTTTCTTATCTCACAGAAAAATCTGTGAGATATTTTCACAATACTGGGACAAGAATGTACAGGGTGGGGCAAAAGTAGGTTTACAGTTGTTTGTATGGAAAATAATACAATAATTAACATATAAAAATGCAAGAATAAACTGTTTTGCATACTCACAACTATAAACCTACTTTTGCCCTACTCTGTATCTCATAGAAAACTTTATCAATCATGCTGGGAAATACACCTAAATATACTCAAATATTTCTGAGCAACTACTTAGTTATTCAGTATGTTTGGTGCTAGTCTGAATAAAAATTATAAGATATCTCTATTATCTACATTCTCTATATTTACATATCATTCATTTCTCTTACATGGAATTGTCTTTCAACAGAGAACTACAAAATTCAGGTAGAGCAGAAACATTATCAAATGTTAGGTTCCTGCCTCTGGGATATTTGTTGTTGGACTCCACCGTAGTTCCTAACACCTCTGTGAGGGTAACACTTCTATAACAGGAGTGAAAACAGAACAATGCCACTGAACTACACCTGAAGCGACTGTTGGCAGCAAGCACTCTACACCCTCCTTCTATGTACAGGTTTTTTCTATTCTTTCTGTGAAGTGTTCCCTTTTCCTCCGTATCTTCCTTTAAAAAAAATTCTCTGTACTATATATGATATATCAGCCTATTGGTACCCATCAACATTGATAACTTCACTGGTGGCATTTGGAGAAAAGCTTTCTTCTGTGTTAAAATCGTAAGGGAAAGGCACCCATGTATTGTGACAGCAGTTGGCAGAAAGTGCACTAGACAGTAAGTCGTAGAACACAAGCTTTAGTGAGCAAGTGGTTTCGGAGTCAGAATACCCTGTGATAGAATCCTGAGGCCAAATATTTACTGAAACTTTCTGAGGCTTAGGTTTCTGGGAGGTAAAACAAAACACTACTATTGCAATTGATGAGCGCAGCCTTGCACCTGTAGTCACTTACTACCGGAACGAGCCTGACATGCAGGGATTAAATCCATATAAATTACTCAGCACAATGTGCTCAGTATTGTTAACTATTATTATTATTACGAAGTAATTCTTATTATGAAATGGATTGTTACAGTAAAATAGATTTGTTAAACAATACTGTAGCGGTAAATTAGGTTTAACTAAATTATGCCTTACAGAATAAATACAGATCAAACTGCTTTTTAAAAGTTTTGCCCCAGTGAAACTCGCTCTGAGTCCCCCGTACTCACTTTATAGTTGTTCTTTTTCAACTCTTGGAAGTCTCTTCGCAGCAGGAAGTAAGCTCTGCGGGACATGATAAGGCAGCAAGGGGTCTGGCACTTGTCCCCACCCTCCTAGGGTTTACTCTGAGGCAGGTGTTCCTTGCTTTCCAGAGTGCTCCCAAAATAAATGGCTTCTAAGCTTGGCATATGACAGGGACTTTCTTTTCTCCTCTAGCTCCTGCAAACTAAGCGTTCCACAGGGAAATCTTGGGCACACTCTTGACAGCGGTGCGTCACTGTAGGGCCAGCCCACCACGCAGTCTCAAGGCCAACTAGGACAAGCCCCTGGGACAACCTTGTGTTGCTGGTGCGTGAAGTGAGCGTAGGAAGCCTAAGCTTACGGCGGTGGTACCAGTTGTTCGCTTCTCTTCACAGGTGTAACTGGGTGTCCGCGTAGCAGGAGGACGCGATCGGTTGCCAAGCAACAGGCCCCTCCCCCAAGGAAAGTAACCAGAAGGAGGTGGGCGTTTGACTGCCTCTTATCCAATCAGCGACAGGGGGCAGGCCTCTAGCAACCTCCGCAGCCAATTGTCCAATCGTTTCACTTTGAAAGACCAATGAAATCCTTTGTCAAGCCCCTTCCCCCGCCTCTCAGTCCACCAACGTGGATTTGACCCAACTAGTGTGTGGGGTTGAGGTGAAGTCCCGGGGTCTTGCAAGTATGTCACAGATGCCCTCACGCAAGTCCATCTCCAAAATGATCCTTTCGTTTTCTTTAAATATGAGGAACTATCAGGAAATAAGTGACCAGTAGGTAGAGGTGTATGCTTATTAATAACAATAACTTACGGCAAGTTACCATTCAAAATACTTTCGGATACATTATTGTGTCATCGAATCCTACGGTTACTCTGAGAGAATGCTCAAGGAACAGAGAACTATTTATAATTTCTCAGATTCCCATCTTGGCCGCAGTTTTGGACTGTATCCCAGCATACCTATGTTTTAGTAGCCTACATAGCCCTAAAGAAGTTACTTAGCCTCCCTGACCTTCAATTTTCTCCTCTATTAATATGTAGCCAATAATAATACTTACCTCATCAGATTATTCTGAAAATTAAAAAAAAAAAAAAAAAAGGCCTAGAGTGGATGAGGTGTTGACTATCATTTGACAGTCAACACCCGTACTTACCATGTGCTGGGAACACTGTTTTAAATGATTTATGGAAATTAACTTTATCCTCAAAAACAACTCTATGAGGTAGGTACTCTTATGATTCTAGTTTTTACAGTAAGGGAAACTGGGGCACAGAGATGCCAGGTAATTCACCTTAGGTTACACAGCTGGAATGCAGTGGAGCCAGGATACAGACTCCAGGAAATGTAGCTCCAGAGTCCATGCATTTAACCCCTAGGCAACCCTTCCTCACAGAGGTCTATTGTCCCAAATGAGCTATCTAGTCTTCTTTAATAAAGTATTGCTACTCTCGATAGTTTTCTTTGTGCATATGTCGTTTTTGTTTTCATTGTGTTTGGTGTATTATTTTTGGCTGCATTTCTACCGGTTGATTAAAATGTAAACTCAAGAATGCTGGACCACTGCTGTATAAAATAGTGCCTGGCACATAATAAAGGCCCAATATATATCTGTTAATTAAATGTGTATTGTTTTGTCTTTTAAATTTATTAAGAAATCTGTCTGACTTCTGTAACTTATGAATATATTTGTAGTACTCTGACTGTGGCTCAAAATACCAATTACTAAATATTTTTTATATTTTATATTTAGTACTCATGTAACTTCAAATGGAGAGTAGATTTAATTAAGTCCTACTATATGCTGTTTGGGCTTTTTCTTACAGCCTTTCCCCCTAAAAATAAGCCTAGAGAATTGAAAAGAAAAATGTTGCATTGTATTTGTCTGGTAGGCAGAATTCTAAGATGAGCTTGAAGATATCCAGGCCCTGCATAATGCTCAGAACTTGAATATGATGGATTTCACTTTGATAAAGTTAAGTTATATGGCTCAGTTAACTTTAAGAGAGAGAATTTTGGGTGAGCCTGACCTAATCAGGTGAACCTGAAATGAGACCGGGCTCCTCCTACAGCCAGTAATTCAAAGTGTGGAAAGGATTCCATGCGAGGGAGATTCTCTGTGACTACCTTTGAAAGTGAAAGGGGCCATGTGACAAGGGCTGTGGGCAGTGTCTTGGAGGTGAGAGTGGCTGCTGGCTGACAGCCCCCAAAGAGAATTGGGGCCTCAGTCCTATAACAAGTGACTGAGTTCTGTCATGCCCACAAGAGCTTGGAAGACAACCTGAACTCCAGATCAGAACACAACCTGGCCAACACCTACTGAGGCCCTGAGCAGAAACTTCAGTTATCCTCTGCCCATATTGTTTTAAGATAGTAACTTTGTGGTATTCTGTTACACAGCAATAGCTAACTAATACAAGTTCTTACCTAGAGTGTTCAGCTACTGACCAAGACAAATTTTGTGACAAAAGATCAGTCACTCACCTATTTAGTGTGAAAAGCACTTGAAACCATTTAGTAGACATTAACATATGGCTTTAGACGGGGTTAGAGGATCAGATAGGTAATGGCATCCTGAAAAATGAAGACTGAAACCAGGGCTCATGTACAAATTTTCATCATCCTAGATGAGCAAGGAAACTGAAAGTGTAATTAACAATGGTAAAGTTACTCAGGCCATCTCCAGCTTTAATGACCAAGCACCCTCCTCCACCTCTTCTTTAAAAACAATGCTTTCCCTCAGGACTTGAGCAGATGTTTTCATTTTACTTATAGAAACTATAAGACTGTTTTCCTCATCCACCAGGAATATGTACCAGTACAAAGTGTTAACTTCGTTTGGATTTGAACCCCCCTCCTCAAGAGCAAAGGAAGGCTGAAGATCGCCAAATGTCAGCTCAGCTGTGAGACGTGTTTTAAATCATATTTTGACGTATGTTACGCTGTTAACTAGAAAATGAAGTGCAGCACACATGCTTCTAGTAACTCTGGTTTCAAATCATATGATCCCTCCTTTGTCTTGAAGACCTTTTGATGTGCGTTCCCATACGGAGTTTCTCTGCTTTTAATAATCTGATATTCCTTCCTCAATATAAATGTCATGAAAAATACCGAATGCTAATCTTCAAAGATCAAACAGGAAGAAAGAGGTAGGCAGCCTTGTTTAGTGACTAGAATTTCTGAAATTTCTCATTCGAAAATTTTATTTTTCTTTTATAAAAGCCTAAGCCCCAAGAAGTGCTTGGTTCCTCATTGTAAAGTTGAAGGGTAGGCTCCCCTCAGTTTCAGAGCTGTGTTAATTACAACATGATTCAGTCTCTCCCTGGAAGGCACCTGAGATGCATGGGCCAGTCAGTGATCACTATTTATATTTATATTTGTGTCTACCTAACAGAGAGGAACTCAGAATCAATACATGCTGGCTTTTATTCCAAAATCTTGGCATGAGCTACGGTGACCAAGAGTCTGCGTTTGGCTGGGACTGGGGCCTTTCCTGGGACAAAGGACTGTCAGAACTAAAATTGGGATAGTCCCTAGCAAACTAGCACAGTTTCTCTTGCATGGACATCAAGGAACTTTTCAGGGTGTGAATTGTGTAGACAACTTGGTAAAAGCTTTTCATTGTTGTTATTGTTTTTGGACTTTGGTGCTTAAAGGAACATAATTTGTTTTCTATTGCAGGCTGATGTCCAAAACCTATAATCAAAATTCTAAAAAGTAATGCTCAAAATTCCTTTAGGAGAGGATCTTAAGGAGGTTTATGACAAAGGAATGCATTGCCTGCCTGGGAACTTTACGTGTTTTAGGAGAATCAGGTCCCCTTTTATTTCATTCCTCACATAGGGACACCAATGGTTGACAGCTTCTGCATTTACATTAATAATATCTAAGTACAACTGTGATGGTTAAAAGTGTGTGGGGTGTGGGAGGGGGAACTGCTTAGCAGGTGTAAGTATGTTATGCTTCCTTCACATATATTGGTTTAACTACCCTTTTCATACTCAGTTGCTAAGGATAATTCCAGAAAACACGGGAGGTTTGAGGTGGCAATTGGTTTTGAGCGGGTATAAGGGATGACATTGTGGCTTAGGGATGGATTAGGGCAGTGATTTTCAATAGTCATGCCGCGAGAGGCGCACTGGTGTGCTGCAAGAATTTTTAAAACATGTAATACCTGACTATTTACAGGGGCACTGACTTCTTTTCTTTACATTGTCAAATAAAAAATTATAACAGCCAACACAGCAATAGCCATCCAGTGTGAATGAATCAAAATTATACCTATTTTTTTCTGGTCAGATTGGCAAAAAATATATTTTAGTAATTATTGTAGTTCACGTGTGCCATGAGATGAAAAAGGTTGGAAATTGCTGGCTTAGGGATGTATCCTGAAGCTGTTTTACTCAGCATCTGTTTGTTTATTAGGGGTGGTTTGAAGGGAGGAGATGGAAATTACGGAGGGGCTAAGCCTGCCCCCACCTCGTCCGCATTAGCACTGGGTGTTCTACATTACCGTATACACATAAATGATAGAATATTTTGTGCTGTAAATTTTATACCACAATAAAAAATAATGTGTTCCTTTATAAAAATTGTTTAAAACACATTGATAGCGATGTTACCCTTTTCTGAGCACTCGCTATGTGCCAAATACTTCTCATATACTTATATAGATTCTCTTTAACTCTGAAAGACAAGTATTACAGAAAAATCATAAAATTGTAGACTGTTTTTTGAGAACTTCTGTCAGGTGCTCTTCTCTGCAGCTTACATGAATTAGCTCATTTATGTTACTTCAATTCTGAAGTAGATACTTTTTCAGATGATAAAATCACAGTTCAGCAATTTGTCTAAATTCACATGGTTACCAAGGGGTGAAGGGGAGATTTAAGCTCAGGCATCTGACATCAGAACGTTTAGTCTTAACCTCTGTGCTATATCCATATTATTTTATGGGTAAAGAAACAGAGATTGCCTTACGTACTCAGGGTCAGCTGGCTCCTGTGCTGGAGTAGTTGAAAAGCACATTCTCTGCCCTCCAATTTTCTTCATCTGGG